TACCTTGGGGCACTTGACCTGACCTCAGAGGTCACCGGTTGACCTAGGACCTAAAAATCGGGTACCAATCTCTGCGTCTCGTAACGGCGCACACGCTCGTTTTTTCCGCGACGCGCTAGCTCCACTAGGGGCGGCCATGTTTGGCCGGAATCGCGATTCGGCGTATGTCAGCTCGCATTAGCCGCGCGTAACGGCGCGTTTGCAAGCTTTTCGTGGTTTCAAACGTTCAAACATGTGATTTGATGTTGCTCCCATGCATTAGGGTGGGTGTCAAGGTCACCTGAAGGTCAGGTCAGGTCATTGACCTTTGGTGACCTCGGTTCACTTTTTCGAGTTTTACATGTTTCTAGGCTAGTTTTTGGAGCTGAATTCGAACTTAGCAACCATTTGAACATTTACGAAGTAGTTTTGGTGCATTCGTGACATGTTACGAAGCTGTCAGAGGCGGATGACAGGTACATAGGTACTACAAATACCCGTCACGACCCCTACCGGTTGACCTGACCTGACCTGACCCGACCTGGTCTAAACGCTTAACGACATCATCTGTGATCAAAACTAACACGATATTCGTGATCAGGACCCCGGAAAATCCCTCAGCAACCACACTTTACGGCTTTCTAACAGGTCCCGATATTCCCGATTTTTGGGTCATTGACCTGACCTGGAAGGTCAACCGATGACCTAGGACCTTAAAATTGGGCAGCATTGGCTTCCTCTCGTGACGGACAGCACGTTCGTTTTTTCTGCGAAGCTCTAGCTCCATCAGGGGCCAAACGCGAGGGGGGTCGTACCAACCCCCCCCCCCCTTGTGCCGTCGAACTCAAAATGGCCAGTGCCGGCGATGCCGTGTATGGTATACCAACATATCGCAGTTTTTAGCTACAAAAACTTAATATCTGATTTTTGCTATATAACTTAAGCAATATACAGTTTTTGTGAAGCTTAACTTTTGGCTTTGCGCTGGCATTGCCCGAGCTGCCAAGCTGAAAAGACACACAGACGTTTATCTTCATAACAAGGGCTTGTACGACGATAAAAGTTGTACGAGACTGTGAGGAGCAGATACAGCGAAACGTTGGATGCCGACATAAGTATGGATGTGCTTCATGTAACGAAAGAAGTATCAATGAATCTATAATTGCATGCCATTGTTTACATTTAAACCTATCGTATGATCTGTAATGATCTATAATGATCATTGATGTATATCTATAAAGTCATTTTCTTGATGACCCATTTTTATGTCATTTACAAAAAGAAAAAGGCTCTATAGGAACTATCAAGTGGCAAGTGTTGACCCAAGATTAAAGACAAGCAGGTATACATGTTTGTCTGTTTGTGTGTCTAGGTATACCTCATCGTCTGCGATGAGTGAAACGCATATGCATGTTTTCATACATCTGTGTTCATCTACCTAACGTACCTACCTGAACCTACCTGAACATGGCATAACATGGCATAGGTAGGTGTGCTGGCTGCAGGACCTGAGGTCAGTGCAACTTCCTGACTGAGCTGGTGACTCGCTGACCCGATAGCTTGTAACCACATGCTTGTTGATTGCAGTGTGCAAATAATGTGTGCGCAGTGAGCTTTTTCGTTTCCTAAAAATCATGAACAATTAAATAGATCACGACTTCCTGTGGTGACAAAATGCTTATGTTTATTTTAAACGTTAGGTAGACGCAGGAACGTACCCAATGGGGCGGACGAGGTGGCCCTCCCCCCTTGGGGTTTTTAGGGCCCCTGGATGGAATCAGGGCCCCCGCGGGCCGAAGGCCCACGTTGGCCAAATCACGTCGGAGGCGAACGAAATTCACGGGAATCCCAAAAATCACGTCAGGAGTGACAACCGACAATCAGGGCCCTCTGACCAGCCTGACAGCTAAGGTCCTTTTTACTTCCTGGGACCTCTTGTGAATAACGGCTAGTGTCTGTGTCCATGGCCGCTAGGACCTCCCTGACTCCTCAGTGGAGAGGAGGCCCTCAGTAGAAAGGAGGCTCTCTGTAGAGAGGAGGCCCCGAGATTCCTCCCCCCCCCCTTGGCCAAATGCTAGGTACTTTATACATACGTGCCTGGGTAGACGGCGTTCTTGGAGATAGCACGCAAACGTTGGCCATGATAAAGCACAGGGTGTTGCATCTTGATCAGAATCAGTCTTAGACTTACTGTAGCTAAGTTATATAGGCACCCGGTCCTCACTTATTTGTAAAGGCTCGCCTACCTAAATTCAGGTGAGGATGACTTAACGAAGCATGATCAGACATACCTTGTTCGTGTGCCAACATGGGGATTGGGGAACCCATTGTCAGAAAGGCCTTTGCCAAGGCCCTAGCCTCTGCTTGCATTACCGGGTCTGTGCTGACTGCACTGGCTACAATATAAGGAATGCTGATCTTTTGCTCTTAGATATTTTTTAAAATATGTTACTTAGACTCGAGTGCTTGAATGGGCAGATTGACAGAGCTAGAGCCCATGCTAAGCGGAGCTTGTTGTGTTGCATCGACCCCAACCCCTACCATCCGATCGTGCAATGCCGGATTACAGAAGAATTTAGATGCGCATTTTTCACGTGCCCATCAAAGCCGGTCCGTCCCACTCAACTGACTTCAACTGGCGGCGACTGCTCCCACCCACCGCACGGTCATAGAATACTAACCCACCGCAGGCCATGCTCGTCAGAAGTCTCATATATCGAGCGCCGGAGCGACTAGAACCGGGCTCTCAGAATCCAGCGCTCTAACAACTGAGCTACCAACAAGCTCATACCCTATGCAGGATCTATATAACCAGTATAACGCCTTTTGGGGCGACTAACGGGGCGAGCGAGAGGGTGGGCCTTGCACGTGCGAAATTGCGAGGGGGTACCTCCAACTGACTTGTGCACGGCACCCTACTAACCGGTTTCTAGCGATGTGCCAAATTTGAGCTCAATCGGCCTAGCCGTTCTCGAGATCTGGAAGCGGCTCCCTGCACGTGCGCACGTGCAGAATGGGTCCCAACTGACTTGTGCACGGCACCCTACTAACAAGTCCCTAACCGTGTACCAAATTTGAGCGCCATCGGTCCGGCCGTTCTCGAGATCTGGAAACGACCCCTGCACGTACGCACGTGCAGCAGCACCCCAACTCTGGCACATGGATATGCATTGCCTAGTGGGTGCCTACCTATACATGCCAACTTTCAGCGCAATCGGCCAAGTAGTCACCGAGATATTGCAACTATTACAAAACTGACACCTCTTCGTTTTGCACGTGGCAGTTGGCACGTGCATAAGGGGTCACCCACATGCATCGGGAATAGTCCAATACTTGGTAAAAGAAGAAGCTACCCTACAAAAATTACCGCATGTAAATCGGTCAAGTGGTTGCTGAGATATTAAAGGTAGTGTGCCACCTTTGAAAGATTTCCCATTTTATTTTTCCCAGGATAAGAAGCTTCTGTTTTTACCTAATATCGCAAAAAAAATCAAAAATGGGCCTGGAATAATGCCTTTTTCGCCTAAAAGTTTATCGCTTTTTAGATATGTATAACAACTGTAGTGGGCTCACCTGCAAACAGGCCTCGGGCAACAATCGCGAATGCGGCGCACTTGTGACAATAAACAAAGGTCATTATAGTGTTACGACCATACGACGTACGGGAATGAGTTATCAGCTGTCTAATCGTAGACAACACAATGTCGAGCCTTTAACTGTAAGCCCGTATTGGTATTGTTTCTTTTATTTGGCTGTCGAACATTATTTATGGTTTGAAATATGATTTTATGTAAAATAATTGATATGAAAAAGCCGTCTTATAAGTTATGACCCCATTTCACCACACGCAAGTGGCAGAAATGACAATGATCAGCTGACGCATTTTTCTTGGCCGAAGTCAGAGCGCGCGGCCCGACGCACCACGCGTATTTGGAAATTCCGACCTCGACGAGCATCAGAAGCCACCTAACAGGCGTGTTCGAAACCGCAGGAGATGATGATGAACGGGTTTATCGAAACTTGATTGGATGAGCATATCGGTAATAGCGATTTCAGTGTGTGCATTTATTGTTCATAGTGGTGTGAAATGTGGTTGGGGTACGACCGACAACCCGTCGGGGCGAATTTCGCACTGGGGTACTCAAAATTTGAAGAATTTAAGACGTTTCCATGAGTTTTGAAGGTATGGATAAGTTCTAAAAATCCGGTTCTCCTTATCTGGGCCATTAACTCCATACGGTCCAAGAAAGCTGGCACACTACCTTTAAGCGTCGCAAAATCGTGACCATGGCCGGCCGGCCGGCCGGCCGCTCCTACTCAGAAATTTCCGTACGTAGACTCCGCTTGCTTCGCTCGCTCTGTAACTATTTAGAAATGTACCCATTTCATTTTAGTGGCGCACTTAGCGCTACTGCCGGCATCGCCATATTATCACTAAAAAGTAAGGAACCATTATTTATAAGAAGGCATCATAAATAATAAATAATCTGCGTTAACGTTTAAATTTTAATACCATTCAGTGCGTGGGTGTGCCATTTTTGTCCTTTACGTCTTCTTCATTATGCAGTTTTATAATTCATTTTGTCTTACCAACGTAAAGCTTCCGAAGGCTAATGAATGCTTATCTACCAATGTATTTCGGCAATCGGTTGATGAGAGTTGGCCATAAGAACCGATGTTTTGCCAAATGTGACTCAATCAATTAACTGTGAATATGTATGTTAACTGTAATCTAAGACATGCATTTACAACACATGGGCTTGCTGAAATTTAAGTACCAAAATAAGAATTAACCTAAATCGAATTAATTTGATATGGTACCGAATGCCATGCTCCTGTGCGGTGCTCTCCGTGCCGTCCTGGTGGCCGCGCGGCCGTAGGACGGTTGTCGGTGCGATCCGGAGCAGATCCGGAGTCGCGCCGCTGTAATTGGTCACGGCAGCGGTCGGTGTCGGTCCCTGAGTCAGGACCGCCGACACCTGGCGGCTCCCGCCCCGCGCCGCCACGGGTCGGCTATTTACCTTGGCCGTAGCGGTTGCGGCTGAAGACGACTCCTGTTGCCGGCAGTGGCGGTCCGGCCAGCAGGGGGCTGCGGGACAGCGCCGGCACAGACTGTCGGCCGGAGGTCGGCGGGCCCACCGCCCCGCTCGGCGTCACCGTCAGGCCGGCCGAGCTGACCGCGCCGGCCAGCGCGGCAGCGCTCCCCGGCAGTCCGGGGGTTGAGCACACGGTCAGAGCGGCCCCCAGGCGCTGGGCGGCCGGCGCGCCCGCGGCGCCGGCCCCGTTCAGCAGGTAGCGCGGCGGCACTGCACCGACACCGTTCACGTGCTCCATGCCGACGGGCGGCGCGGCGCGCACAGGCCGCTCGCTCCGACACCGCGCGCCGCCGCCGTCCAACTGAGCCGCCGCGCCGCGCCGCTGCAATGTTGCATAAGTGACGTAACGCTCCGATCGGCGGTCAACGCTCGGGCCGGTCGGCGCGGCGGCACGTGGGAGCGGCTCGGGCCGGCCGGCCGGCGGTCACTCGGCGCTCTCGGCGGCCGGCCGGCGACGGGCCATGGCCGCTCATGGCGTCGATCGCCGACGCGCCTGCGGCCTGGCGTCGGAGCCGGCGCGGCGCTGCGCGACGGCCCCCGAGTCGGCCGGCCGCCGCGGCCCCGAGCCGGCGCCGTGCCGACCGAAAAAAGCACCGGGAAAAAAGCGGCGGCGCTGGCAGCGCCGCGGCGCGGATTGCAGCCAACACAAGGACACCGGCATGCAACGCCGGCCGGCCGGCGGCGGCGGGTGGGGAGGGGGTGGGCGGCCCGGCCGTCCGACCACAGCCAGCCGGCCGCCCGGCCAGGGAGGGCAGACCGCCATCACAATCTGCCGCCGGAACCACCCCACAGAACGGCCGGTGCCCCACGACACTGTTCCGACACAGACACTTTGGCACTTTGGCACGGAAATGTGTCCCTCTAGCAGCAATTGAACGATTCAAATGCGGTTACTATACGCGCGGTCAGCGTTCAAAGTGAAAACGTGCCACTCTGTCCTCGAGGTGGCGACAATTTCAACGCGCTGTTTCCTCACACAACTAATATCCGTGGTACAGTTCTGTTCTGATAACGCACCCAACAGTAGTAGTACCTACGCCCGAAAGCAGTAGTGTTAGCATACTATCAATAAAGAGTGCAATGGTGTGTTACAAAATCAGCAGTAAGCCAGTAAGCGTCATATTTCACGAAATGTTTGAGACGTTATCACGTCACATATGTAGTTACTGGTGGACTCGATTAGAGAGTCGACTGTCTGGACTCGGCTTGAGCTGCTTCTGCGTTCCACTGCTGTCTATGAGAGTTCCCTGTCAAAGACATAGCCGGTTTTAGACAGATGGTCCGTGACAAAAAAAAAACCAAAGCTTCTGTGCTAAATGCCATATTGATCCGAGTCACGGATCAGCAGACTAGTCGCAGTAAGAAGGCGCCTTAATTCGGTCACAGCTCGCGATGACCCGGTGGCGCTGCGCCCGGTGCTCAGTGGGGCGGACCGGCCGGACGGGCTGGCCACCTGGACGGCTGCCGCGACACCTGAATGCGGAACTGATCGGCACATTGCGGCATTTTATCGTCTGTTGGTGAACAGTCCGCAGTTTGGGCCATTTTTAGGTGATAACTGTCTGGGAAATGTGCTACGTCGCGCCCAGCAGTCAGCTGTAAATTATCGGTCAACGACGCGATCTGCCACTGCACTGCTGCCCGCAGTATTACTACCATTGGTCATGTACGTACTTTGACGGAATGACTTATTATGAACCCCACAAAACTTGCCGTCTTGGTTGCATAGGTATACGTTCCTCGTAGGGATATAATCAATAATGCTTCACTTGCCATCCTCACGATAACGGTACCTGCGCGCAGAGGCGGATCCAGCTCAGTTTTTTTTTGGGGGGGGGGCAAACCATAACAATTTATCGATTCTTTCCATGCCTCGTCCATAGGCGTAATGTTAAAATTATGCCGTTTGGGGGGGGGGGGTCAAATGCCCATTTTGCCCCCCCCCCCTGGATCCGCCACTGCCTGCGCGGATGTTGGCACCGTCGGCATTTCGTCCCTAACGTGGCGCGTTTCGTGTTATTTGGCCCAGTGCATTTGTATAACGTGGGTGTCGTTGGCTCTGCCCATTCTCCCAGCTCTGAGAACCGGGCACCCTGTGACGGTCGGGGGGCATTCCATGTCAACCGGGACAGCCAAAATCGGCCACCTCTGCGATTTTGTTCAAACTTGGTATACTTGTTGGCTATTGGGTGAAACCTCTGAGGGTCAAAGGATTTTGTCATATGCCCTCGGGCTACAGAGATACAAGCCGCTAAACTTCTGCTTTTTTAGCAGAATTGGACGTGTATTGCAATCTTGAAAGATCTATAGCTTCAACATTTTTGAAGCTATTAATTTCAAACAAACGGAAACGTGAACACGAGGAGTTATGCTAGTCAAATTTGGTAATTTTAACATTTTTTGGTGATTTTGAATTTATTTTATTTTGAATTAGTTTCTTAAAATCTAATTTGTGAAAAATGGGTACCCTTCGATTTTGCTCAAATTTGGACATTATCTTCCACCACACGTAAGGCATACGTGCTGAGAAAATTAGAGTGGGCCAACGATAACTTTGGATGATATAGCAATAAGTAGTGCAACGTAGCACGGGCGATGAAGGGGCGGATTTCGCCAACCCCACCTGTTTTTCGCCAATAACTCACGCCATAACTATTATATTAACGTCAAACTTTCAGCATCTGTCCAGAATTGAATTGCAAATCCTCCTGTGCAAGCAATAGGTAAATCGGTCCACAACTTTTCTAGTAATAGCGGTGTAAAATTAAACATCTTGCCGGAGCGGCGCGGCGGCCGGCGTCGGCCGTTGCCGCCTGAATGGTAGACTGTGCCGGCGCCGGACGGTTCCATCTTTACACTGCGCTTCTTACCGCTGATTATGATCGATTCGTGTCAAATTTTGTGTGAAGGCTTAAAAATGTACAGGCAAACTAATGGTCAAATAAATACGAAAACCAACTGGTAAAAATTGAATTATTAGGGTGCAAACACAATCTATGACTGAAACGTTTCCCGCGTCGGCCAATCCCCGCGCCTTTGCCGGCGACATCTTACTCTTAGCAGGCCACTAACTGCCAAATTTATGGTTAGATTATCTAAAGATTCTCATAACACTACAAATGTCGTAAAAAGGAAGAAATAGGAAAATCGGCCAGTAACTCATAGAGCTATGGGCGTATAAACGCAAAATAGTCACCATAGCAAATTTCATCACGATTAACCTCATTTGATCTTGAAGATATTGATCTAGGGCCATGAAATTGGCACACGATAAAGTTCCCCACCGCCCCACCTACAATTCAAATTCCGTTTTTTATACCTTTTTTGGCTTAACCGGGCCTTTCTCCCCTAGCGCTGGGAGAGTCAGGCGTATTTCCTTTTTGCAACCAAAGAGAGGCGCTGCCCGGAGAATGCCCAATTGCATCATTAAAAAAACTGGCTTACATCTCTGCGATGACCAGCTATCTCCGTGGCTTAGTAGTTAGTGTGCCGAGTGTACCCACCTCGTAATCTAAAGGTGGCTGGCTCGTGGCCGGTTAGTCTCAAGTGTTTAAACACGCATTCGTTTTTTAAGTAACATCTGGCCAGCCGGCAAATGTCGTGAGGGCTAATGTTCGTATCTAAGTAGCATTTGGCCAGTCGGCAACTGCCGTGAGGGCTGTACATATTTACGCATGTTAGATTAGGTCAGGTCACGTCAGGTCAGGCTAGGTTTGCTTTGGTTTGGGGCAGAAAGAAGCATCTCCGGGGGCGGGTAGCGCCTCTCCTTGGTTGCTAAAACGAAACTCGCGAGTGCCAGACGTTCCGAAGTCCAAAAGGCAGTTACGTAGACGTCGGCCCATTCTGGATTTTTTATATGATGTAGCTAATGTATGGGAGGATGAAATATGTAAAAATCAGCAAAATCGAAGGGTACCCATTTTTCAGAAAATCAAAATTTATTTTTTGAATTTTAATTTAGTTCATTAATTAGCTAATTATGTCAATATTGTTATCCTCAAATTAAAGCCTGATCTATTCCCTCCATTTCACACTTTGTCTCATGGTGATATGTCTAAAACTTCAATGGTTATGACGCTTTAAAGATGATAATATGCCTTGCCTAAGTCAATGTTTGATGACGTGTATCTCGGAAACGTGACGTCATATCTTGACAAAAACATGTCTCCTTTCTTTTCACATATAGATGAGTAGTTTCACAAAGTTTCGCAAAAATCGGAGGAGGCGAGGTTCAAAATGGTCATTTTTTGTCTCACTTGACGTGGAATGCCCCTCGGACGACATTCCACGCCTGACGCCGGTCCGGTCCTCGCTCACAGCTTCACAGACGGTACGGTGTGGAAGCAGCGCTGCAGGGCCCAGCGTTATCCCCAGAGCGAAAAAAAACGCCACATCACGCCGCCATGGCTACGACACGGATTACATCAGATTCGCCGCGGCTGTGGGAAGGCGAACACACGGACAGAAATTTCTGCCCAGACTGCCGGGAGAGGCAAGAATGACGGGCTTTCGATATAGGTACATCTCACCAGTATCACCTTTGACCTCCCACACTTAAAAGCGCTTCAGAACTATGCAAATATTGCACAAAACGAAGGACGTTGTTGTCCTCTTCAGTAGCTATGTGTTGAACTGTATGTTGAAAAGTGTAAATTAGTTCATGCTCATTGCTCATTGCTAGGTTCGTTGAGATAGGTATTAGATCTATCGTAAGCGTTGGTGTCGGAACCATAAACCATAAACGGTTGTTGAGAGAAATTTCATCTATTGTATGTAATTAGGAAGGAAACTTATTCATTTAGGGGAGAGCGGGGCCAAATATAATACGGGGCAATTGTAGGGTAACTGTGGGGAAAACGCACCCCTATGTTAAACGCCTCCCCTAAAAAATCGTATTTTTTTATCGACGGTTAGTTGTTTTATCCTGTCTTTCGGAACAGTCAGCAGCTTGTTTACGTAGGTCTCTATTTCCGGTTCTGCGTCTTGAGGAGCAGCGTGGGTAGGTGCTGATGTTGGTTTTGGGTGTTGTTTTTGTTGTTTTTACAGAAGATTCCTAATATTTTGATGCCGTGTATACGGTAACCGGACAAAAGATCGTAAAGCAGAAGATCGTATGGCAAAAGATCGTAGGAAGTTGATCGTATGCAAAAGATCGTAATGGATAAAGATCGTACGACATAATGCTCGTATGGACAAAAGATCGTATTCGCTAAAGATCGTCAAGGAAAATGATCGTATGCCAAAAAGTCGTAATGGATAAAGATCGTACGACATAATGCTCGTATGG